ACACACGTGTGTGTGTGTGTGTGTGTGTGTGTGTGTGTGTGTGTGTGTGTGTGTGTGTGTGTGTGTGTGTGTGTGTGTTCGTTCATCTGACTCGGGGGCTGGAAGAACCGAGCCCTGGGGAACCTAGGTCCTGCAGGGTAGCTCCATTGGGAGGGAACTTGCAGCCTGGAGAAGCAGAGTTCCGTATGAGAACACAAGTGACACAAGCAGTACATTAATACAATTACAGAACCCCTCCCCCCACAAAGAGTAACCCTAATAAATGAGCGTACCCCAAAGTAAAGGGCAAATCTGGTAACACACCCTAGAGGCGACGGAGCCTGGGGAACGAGCTCTGAGCTCCCTGCTTCAGACTGGGTTTCATAGAATCATAGAATCATAGAATATCAGAGTTTGAAGGGACCTCAGGAGGTATCTAGTCCAACCCCCTGCTCAAAGCAGGACCAATTCTCAGCTAAATCATCCCAGCCAGGGCTTTGTCAAGCCGGGCCTTAAAAACCTCCAAGGAAGGAGACTCCAGAAGGTTTCTGTCTCCCTGAGAGAGATATGATGGTAGAGCTGCACAAGGGACAGGTTTGCCAATCCTTATCAGACCCTGTTGGCCATACGGGGAGAAGACAGGGCCCTACAGGGTGACAGCCGGGTAGAAATGCCGGGAAGGGGCGTTTTCTGTGCTGAGCCCAATTTTTTGTGCTGTCAAACCTAAATCTCTCTGGCTGCAGATTTAACCCGTTGCTTCTTACCGTGGTTTCTGTGGCCAATGAGAACAATTGATCCCCGTCCTCTTTATACCAGCTGTGACCATATTTAAAGACTGTTCCCAAGTCCCCCATTCTTTTCTCAAAACTAAACATGGCCTGAGTTTAACCTTTCCTCACAGGTCAGGTTTTCTAAACCTCTCTCATTTTTCTTGGTCTCCTCTGGACCCACTCCTGTGTGTCCACACCTTACCTAAAGTGCGGCTCCCAGAATTGGGCACAGTTCTCCAGCGAAGGCCTCACCAGTGTCCAGTAGAGCAGGACAATTACCTCCCACCTCTTACGTACGACACTCCTGTTTGTGCACACTAGAAAATTCACTTTTTTTCACCTGCATCACACTCTGGACTCATATTCAATTTGCGATTCACTGTAGCCTCCAGGTCCTTCCCGACACTCAATCCTCCTCAAACTGAATGACTGGAGTGATGTGAAAACCTGATTTTCATGTGGTTGGCTGGCTGTGAAAAAACTCAGGGTGGAGAATTTCATTTTGGGTGACCCTGAAAAGAAAGAAAAATCAGTTGTTTGGCAAAGTGAGAACGCAGGAGAAAAATCATGCTGGGTATATGAAATGCTTCGATTTGGAGGGATTTTAAAAATAAAATAGAAGATTTTGACTGGAATAGAAATATCAAAATGTTTCAACATTTTGGACCATTTTAGGGAGGGGGACGAAAACAATTTATCAAAATTGAAACAAATTTGCAAAAATTTCTCTGTCAACTTAAATCCGCATTTAAAATGTTTTTTGCCCAGTTAAAGCCAGGAGTCTGAGCTCCCCAGCCCCGGCCCATGCAGGTTCTAGCTGAGCTCTGGGAGAGGCGTGGGGCCAAGTGGGTTAGAGAAGTGGGGGTTGGAGCCAGGACTCCTGGGTTCTCTCCTGGCTCTGGTAGGGGATAATTATAAAGCCTCCCTAGATGAGCCACTCATGGGGACAGGAGATGCATGGAGAAGCACTGCCCTCTACTGGTGGATACTGTAATACAAAAGGCCTAACAGGAGACACATTCAGGTTACTTCAGTGACCAAGGACCCCAAAGTGCTCACCCAGCACTGAAGTGCAGCCACCTCTGGGGAGGGGCAGCTAGGGAAGAGGTTCAGGGTGACGACACACCAGGAGGGCCATGTTTCATTCAATCGCCAAGGCAATTGGTAAATATCACTCCAAATTGCAGTTCAGAGGTTAAGAATTAAAATAAAGCGCTCGGGGTGAACCCAGTAGTCCTGTCTCTCAGACCCCCTGCTCTAACCACCAGACCCCACTCCCCTCCCAGAGCTGGGGAGAGAACCCAGGAGTCCTGACCCCCTGCCGGGTTAATGGGGAGAGCCAATAACTGGCTCCTGCTGCGTGGGTCAGACAAAGCTTGGCTTGGGAGTGAGAGAGAAGGAGGTCAGAGACCCCTCCCTGGCTTGTTGTGGGGGGTTGGGCCAGCTGATACCCCACAAACACAAAGAGCAGGGGGTGCTGTGGGTGAGGGAAGAGAGGGGCACCCAAGGCCTGGGGGTGAGGGCCCCCACTGGTACAACACAGGCAGTGTGAAGGTCGTGCTAAGGCTGGGAGCTGATGGGGAGGGTGATGGAGGGGAGGGGCTAAGGAGAGCAGTAGAGCAGGGGCTGATGGGAATGGGGGGAAGCAGGGGGCAGGGGGTGCAGATCAAAGATGCCAGGCACCAATAAGGGGACAGCCGTCCCTCCCCAATCTGCTGCCTCTTGAGATGCTGCCTCCTTTTCCCAGCTGCCCCTCCCCAGAGGTGGCTGCATCTCAGTGCTGGGTGAGCACTTCAGGGTCGTTCATCACTGAAGTAACCTGAATGTGTCTCCTGTTAGCCTTGCTGTAGTACAGTATCCACCAGTAGGCGGTGATGCTTCTCCAGGCATCTCCAGTCCCCGGGAGACCTCCGACAAGGGACATAGGGAAATAACCCATTTCCTTCCCTGACAGACTGTATCCGTCTATAGAAGATCCACCAGATACCGACGGACCGAGGGACAAACTCCACCCGTGTCCATATCCACTTTGCCTCTACTGGCTCTGACACTTTACTATGGACGACGTATCCGAGAACACTTATTCTCTGCCGCTTTTAAAAACTCACACACCTTAATCTGGAACAATGCTTGTTATGTACCCTATGGATCTCGTCAACTTTATAACCAAGACTTTTAATTTCTCACAACCCAAGCTTGACCCCAGACCTACAGTGCCTTTCCTTTAAACCTGTGTAACGCAAACTTGATTCCAAACATTAGATTTAATAAAAAAAATGAATAGCCACCAGTAGGCTGTGATGCTTCTCCATGCATCTCCAGTCCCCGGGAGCGTCTCCTTTCACATCAGTTCCTTCTGTATGTGCAGTAGTCCGACTCAGTATAGGCATCTAGGGAGCAGGGCCGGTGCAACCACTAGGCGAACTAGGCGGCCGCCTAGGGTGCCAAGTGGTTGGGGGTGCCAAAAAGCCCGCTCAGGGGAGGCGGTGGAGTGGAGGTGAGCTGGGGCAGGGGAGCACGGGGAGGGCTGCCTGCAGCAAGTAATGGGGGGGGGGCATGCAGGGGAACTGCTCCCCGCCCCAGCTCACCTCCACTCCACCTTCTCCCCCGAGCACACCGCCCCTGCTCTAATTCTCCTTCCCTCCCAGGCTTGCCGTGCCAAACAGCTGATTGGTGCCGCAAGCCTGGGAGGCTGGAGAAGTGGAGCTGCGCCGGCGTGCTCAGGGGAGAAGGCGGAGCGGAGGTGAGCTGGGGCGGGGAGTTGCCGCAGGGGGGGCTGCCCAGGTGGAGGGTGGGTGGGGAGCTGCCGCAGGGGGGGCACTGCAGGGCAGAGCGGGGAGCTACCGTGGGGGGGGCGCCCTGGGCGGAGGGGGGGCACTGCAGGGCTGGGAGCTGCTGCAGGGGGGGCTCCCTGGCCCTTCCCCATGACCCCAGGCCCGCTCCACCCCCACTCCCAACTCTTGGGTGAATCCATCTGGTCCTAGTGATTTATTTATTTTTAGTAATATAAGAACATAAGACTAGCTGTATTGGGTCAGACCAAAGGTCTGTCCCAGTAGGGGCATACTTACGTTCCATCTAGAACAGTATCCTGTCTTCCAACAGTGGCCAGTGCCAGATGCCCCAGAGGGTATGAACAGAACAGGTAATCAGCAAGTGATCCATCCCCTGTTGCCCATTCCCAGCATCTGGCAAAGAGAGGCTAGGGACACCATCCCTGCCCATCCTGGCTAATAACCATCAATGGACCTATCCTCCATGAATTTATCTAGTTCTTTTTTGAACCCTGTTAGGGTGTTGGCCTTCACAACATCCTCTGGCAAGGAGTTCCACAGGTTGACTGTGCATTATGTGAAGAAATACTTCCTTCTATTTGTTATAAGCCTGCTGCCTATTAATTTCATTTGGTTACCCCTAGTTCTTGTGTTATGAGAAGTAATAAACAACACTTCCTTATCTACTTTCTATACACCAGTCATGATTTTATAGCCCTCGCAGTCTATAAAATATCTTTAGTAATTTTGTATCACCTGCAAATTTTGCCACCTCATTGTTTACCCTCTTTTCCAGATCATTTATGAATATGTTGAATAGAACTGGTCCCAGAACAGACCCCTGCGGGACACCACTATTTACCATTCTCCATTCTGAAAACTGAGCATTTATATCGATCCTTTGTTTCCTATCTTTTAACCAGTTACCAATCCATGAGAGCACCTTCCCTCTTATCCCGTGGCAGCTTCCTTTGCTTAAGAGCCCTTGGTGAGGGACCTTGTCAAAGGCTTTCTGAAAATCAAAGTACACTATATCCACTGGATCCCCTCAGTCCACATGCTTGTTGACCTCCTCAAAGAATTCTAGTAGATTGTTGAGGCATGATTTTCCTTTAATAAAACCAGGTTGACTCTTCCTCAACAAATTATGTTCATCTATATGTCTGTTAATATTGTTCTTTATTATAGTTTCAGCCAGTTTGCCCAGTACTGAAGTCAGGCTTACCGGCCTGTAATTGCCGGGGTCACCTCTGGAGCCCTTTTTAAAAATTGGCATCACATTAGCTATCCCCCAGTCATGTGGTACAGAAGCTGATTTAAATGATAGTTTACAGACTAGAGTTAGTAATTCTGCAATTTCACATTTGAGTTCCTTCAGAACTCTTGGGTGAATACCATCTGGTCCTGGTGATTTATTGCTGTTCAATTTATCAATTTGTCCCAAAACCTCCTCTAATGACAACTCAGGCTGGGGCAGTTCCTCAGATCTGTCACTTTAAAAGAATGGCTCAGGTTTGGGAATCTCCCTCACACCCTCAACCGTGAAGACCGATGCAAACAATTTATTTAGTTTTGCCACAATGGCCTTATCATCCTTGAGTGCTGCTTTAGCGTCTTGATTGCCCAGTGGCCCCACTGTTTGTTTAACCGACTTCCTGTTCCTGATGTTCTTAAAAAAAATTTTGCTATAACTTTTTGAGTCTTTGGCTAACTGTTCCTCACATTCTTTTTTGGCCTTCCTAATTGTATTTTTACACTTCATTTGCCAGAGTTTATGCTCCTTTCTATTTTCCTCACTAGAATTTAACTTCCACTTTTTAAAGGATGCCTTTTGGCCTCTCACTGCTTCTTTTATTTTGCTGTTTAGCCACGGTGGCCCTTTTCTGGTTCTCTTACTATGTTTTTTAATTTGGGGCATACATTTAAATTGAGCTTCTATTATGGCGTCTTTAAAAGGTTTCCACGCAGCTTGCAGAGATTTCACTTTTGGCGCTGTGCCCTTTAATTGCTGTTTAACTAACCTCCTATTTTTGTGGAGTTCCCCTTTCTGAAATTAAATGCTACCGTGTTGGGCTGCTGTGGTGTTTTTCCTCCCACAGGGATATTAAATTTAATTATATTATGGTCACTATTACCAAGCGGTCCAGCTATATTCACCTCTTGGACCAGATCCTGTGCTCCACTTGGGACTAAATCAAGAATTGCCTCTCCTCTGGTGGGTTCCAGGAGCAGCTGCTCCAAGAAGCCGACATTTAAGGTGTAAAGAAACTTTACCTCTGCATCCCATCCTGAGGTGACATATACCCAGTCAATATGGGGATAATTGAAATCCCCCATATAGAACTCACAAGTCCTGGCTCCACCCCCTCCCGCCCTAACTCACATGACCCCACTCCCCTCCCATATGATGAATATTAATAGCCATCTACTGAATATGATTATACCCGCCCCTGTTTACTGTTTACAGAATTAAGCATGTTACACAGGCACTTTTACCTTGAATATAAATTTATTTGCAGTAATTGTAGCCACAGATTCCCTCAATCAGCAATTTACAGGGGAGGGAGGAAGGAGCCATGACCCCGAGCTCATTCATGTAGCTGGGAAAGAGAAGGGAGAGGAGAGATAACACTACTTCACACAATGTGTATTCTTTAGACAGCCGCATTCCTTATGCGGCTGCAACACTTGTCTATCCTTAACAAGCAAAAAGGAAGGGGCAGGATAGCAAACTTTATCTATCAAGTAAAGAAATACAGCTTGCCTGTGCCATACTCCCTATTACCATGGTAACGGTCACCCAGGTCTTTATTTAACCCTTACATACCCCAACACCAGATCTTAATGGACGGAGAGTTGTCCTGCGTCAGTGTGGAGATGCCGTGAGTGTAGGACGTAGATGTTTTATGGAAAGTTACCCTGCTCATCTAGGACTCTTTCCAGAGGAAAGTTCTGATAGCTCTGATGAGGAAAATGTGGATTTGGGTAGGAGAAGTCAAAACAGAGAAATTATAGATTCAAACTCAAATAGAAGCCCAGATCCCAATCTGGAGAGAAGATCCTCACATTCTAATTCTGATTTCCCTGTAGCAGTTGTTACAGATATTAAGACCCTAGATCTGGTAGTTAAGCAAATAGGGATGATGGAAGATTCTTCGGTTGCAATGCATGCACAATGTGTACAAGAAACAGCAAAAGTGTTTGGCTCACCAAGGGAGGACTGGATTAAAATCTTACCACTCAGAGAATCAAGCATTATGGAGTACTTTGCCACCTGAGTTTAGGGTAGGAGAGAGATCTTTTAAAGACACAGTAGCCCTATTGGAACATAATCAGCATCTGGGGCAAGCTGGAGTGGCCATCCTGTCTAACCTAAAGGAGAGACCTAATGAGTCCCCACATCAATTTCACCTGCGGTTAAGTGCAGCATGTCACAGTCACATGAAAGAGGAAACAGATGAGCCACCATACGTTAGTTTGTTGGTCAATAACTCTCTTCCCATTTGCAGGAAAAGGTTAACGTGCATATAAATTATAACACTTCTTGGAAGGAGGCATTAGCCTTACTGGCCAAGGCGTATTCTCAGGGAGGCCCTAAAATAGGTCAGCGTGGAGCCCCTGTTGCAATACTTCAGGAACCATGAGCTGACCCCACCGTGAGGATTGAGGGACCCCCAGGGTTAGGCCAAGGTGTTCCTAAATTCCCTAGGTACCAGCGTTGGCAAAATGAACCTAACCCACGTAATAATCCTGGACCTTCGAGTGGGCGTGCCCCTCGACAGGGTTATGCATTTGGACCCCATGTAGTGTCCCGGGACCGTGTTCCTTTCTTTTCAGATATCACCCAGAACAATTCACACCTGCAGGGATCCAAGTCACCGCCTCCCCACAGAGATGAGGACTCAATTGTAATGATGTTTAAGACAGTGCAGCAGACGCTTGAGGCTCAACGACGGACTATCCGGGAACTCCGAGCACGCATGAATGAGCTGATGATGGAAGGCCAAATCCCAGCATCCTTGAACCGTCCAGTGGCCTCCATTAACTCATTTCCTTCTGTCTGGTGGAGAGCTTCTCCTCCTCCAGAGTTGGCTGCCTCTGAAGAGATAGAAGGAGAACCCGTAGATTATTTGTCTGCATACTCTACAAATTACTCAGCATGACACCCACGGCCCTGAGCATAGTTATAGCCCTTTTAGGCAGAGATGCAAGTGGGAGACCCACAGTATCTGCAGTGGTAGGGGGCCGCCACAGGAATTTTATTATAGATACTCGGGGAGCAATTGGCATTATCCATGTCAAGGATCCTAGATCCTCTTCTCTGTCGTCAGGGTGCACAAAACCACTTCCAACTTTTGCAAGCAATCAGGTTGTTACTACACTTTCTAAACCCTTTGAAGCACAGATAGGTCACCTAAGAAAGGTTCATACCTTTGCACTGATGAAATTAGCAGACCCAAGGAATTGCCTATTGGAAACTGATTTCCTATATGAACAGGGATGTGTGCTTGATTTG